CTCAACAAGCCCAAAGTCTGCGCAATAGAACCTCTCATGTGAATATTTGTGCCAATGTCCATGGACCCAAAAGTTTAGTCTGCGATACTTGGTGTAGAATACGTGTCTCATTGACCAATTCTTGGTATGTTTCCCATGTGTATCGATTGTATGGAGCGCGTTCATTTCAACCATAAGTGTAGGAATCGGTTGGTGCGACTCAAACTGTAGCATCACTCTGTCTACGACGTGCCACTCTGCAATCACATAATGCAACAACGACATCACGATACACCATAAGTGGAACCCTAAAAAATCTCACTGATAATAAATGAATGATCTCCTTGTCGACGTACGAAAGCCAAGAGAATTGTAAATATTAAACATACATAAAAGTTAATATATATATATAAAGTTAAAATATTTTAAAAATAATAAAAATTTCGTATGTCATACTGCATATCGGTATGCTATGTCGATCCTCATCCGTATGTCTCGTGTAGTGGCACCCGCCAACTTCATCTCGGAGATTTTATTACGCCATCTAAAATATTTTCAAATAAAAATACTCTAAACATATAAAAAAATAATTAAATTTATGAAATTCAGAAAAATTTAAATAAATGCAGTTAAACAATTACCTTGCAGTCTACGAAAATTCGACTGGGGCTGATGTAACTGGCATCAAAACAAGAAGTGATACCAAGCCCAAGACTGTAGTAGTATCATACAACCTGCTACATCGATTTTTTGACATGGTTGGACGATTACAGCCTTGCAAAGCTCTCTCTAAAGAAAGGCTAAAATCGTCGAGCCCCAACTGGTATTACGACACACAACTGGTATTATTCGATAATAATATCCTTATTTCACTCAGAGAAGAAATGCTCCAGAGGTGAAAACACCCTTTGTCTCGATACTCGTTCATGACATGGAATTCGGACTCCAACCACGTTATCGTTACGCGATAGCCCCTAATGACGTCAAATGGTGACCATTTCCCCAAAACTTGGTAAAATAACAAATTAAGATGTATATTTATTAATGATGCATGATTATTTTTTACTTATCATTTTAATTAGTTTCTTTTATACCAACTTGCATGATTCATTGTATATGTAGATATTTTTTTTGTTTTTTTGTGCGGTTCAACATTTATTTATTTATTTATTTTAATGCTAATTGATGATCTAATTTATCACAATTTTATTAATATCTTTCCATTTTTTTATTTCTAATGAAAATAGTATTAAGTATTTTTATTACTATTATATGTGTTTGACTTTGCCATATTATATATATATATATATTTACTTAATATTTATCAACCTTGAATGCTTGCATAATGTTCACCTTTATGTATCTATCATATTTGTTTTAATTTGATTTTTGAAATGTTCTTTTGTCAATATTATGTGTATGTCTTATTTTATATTAAAGTTTTTAGTGGTTTACTCGAATATTTTCAAGAATTTTATTTGTAGAACGAGCGTGGATAACACTAATTGATTGAAGTAGTATAATCTGATACGAAGTTCAAACGGAATATGAACTTGAAAACACGAGCCCGTCTATGTTTTATTAAAATAATGGTATTTCTTATTTTATTTTATTTTATTTTGTATTTTTATATGTTTTATTTTATTTTATTTTAATTTTTGTTAGTATTAATGATGTATGTTTTTGAAAAGTGAATTGTAATTTATTTCATGCAAAAATTCGATATTAATTCAATATTTTCAATAATTCAAAGATAAAATATTCTTTTAAAGATGAGAAATACGATAGATAGCTTTCCCGACAGATGATTGCAAATCTCAAGATTTATTATCAAGTCAAAGAATTTTCTTTAAATAATTAATTCGGAATAAGCAAATTAATTAAATTTTCATAAATGAATCATATTCTAACTTTATATTCGATTCATAATTTTCACTACCGTGATAATATGTAAGTAATTAAGTACCAATTTTTTGGGCGCTGTGGGGATGCTCATCCTTCCCCACGCGTAATCGACTCCCGGACCCGTTAAATCGGATTTTTGGTAAACACGCATACCAATTTTTGTCTTAAAATAATTTTTTCTTAAAATTATTTAAAAAGACATTTTTAGGTATTCGACCTACCTAAATCAAAGGTCGATGGCGACTCCTATTCATATTAATCCAAATTAATTCAAAATCGTCAAAATTTTAAAATAAAGTCATAATTGTTTTCTAAAAATGGATATGACAAACCCATTACATCGTCTCCACTCTCCCACTCCCATATATAACTTTTAAATAAATTACGTGTTTAGTACTTAAATTATAAGTTTTGATATGTTTTAGTATTTAACTTTTTATTTTTTTATATAACTTTTAGTTTTTGTTTCATTTTAGTACTCCGTCATTAAAAATTTAACGGACGGGCTAATGTGGCATAGTTCCGGTAGACAGAAGACCGATCCGAATGATTGACCACGAGAGAATGACGAGTTGACCAACATAATCCAATTTCAGGCTCATCTAACGGTGGACCATGGAGATTAGAGGACGAAGAAATCAAAATGTATATCGTTGATTTTGGAAGATTGAGGTGTTTCCAAGTGATACGAAGATTGGAATAACGTTTAGGGGTTAGAAAGGTGTGGACTAAAAAGTTTAGGCTTCTTCGAACGACGTATACGATGACCAACGACTGTAGATGTATTTCTTATTTTATTTTATTTTTTTATAAGTTTTATTTTATTTTTATTTTTATTTTCATTTTTGTTAGTATTAATGATATATATTTTCGAAAAGTGAATTGTAATTTATTTCATACAAAAATTTGATATTAATTCAATATTTTCAATAATTAAAAGATAAAATATTCTTTTACAGATGAGAAATATGATAGATTCCTTTCCCGACAGAGGATTGTAAATCTCGAGATTTCTTATCAGGTCAAATAATTTTCTTTAAATAATTAATTCGGAATAAGCAAATCAATTAAATTTTCATAAATGGATCATATTCTAACTTTATATTCGATTCATAATTTCCACTACCGTGATAATATGTAAGCGACTAAGTACCAATTTTTTGGGCGTTGTGGGGATGCTAATCATTCCCCACGCATAATTGACTCTCAGACCCATTATATCGGATTTTTGGTAAACACACACCAATTTTTGTCTTAAAAATGATTTTTTTCTTAAAGTAAAAAGACATTTTTAGGAATTCGACCTACCTAACTCAAAGGTCGATGGCGACTCCTATTCATATTAATCCAAATTAATTCAAAATCGTCTATTTTTCAAAATAAAGTCATAGTTTTTTTTAATTAGAATTGTTTTCTAAAAATTGGTTATGACAAATCCATTACATCGTCTCCCACTCCCATATATAACTTTTAAATAAATTACGTGTTTAGTACTTAAATTATATATAGCATCTTTGTCATTAAAAACTTAACGGACGGGCTGATGTGACATAGTTTTGGTGGACAAAAGACAGATCCGAACGATGGACCGCGAGAGAATGACGAGTCGACCAAAATAGTCCAATTTCATGCTCATATGACGGTTGACCATGGAGAATGGAGGATGAAGAAATTGAAATGTCTATCGTTGATTTTGGAAGATTTAGGTGTTTCCACGTGATACGAAGATTTGAATCCCGTTTAGGGGTTGAAAAGGTGTGGACTAAAAAGTTTGGGTTTCATCGAATGACGTATACGATGACCAACGACTGTAAACGCAGGGGCTGATGAGTCCGTTTGTTAAGTTTTTAACAGCGGATACTAGAATGAAATAAAAACTAAACATTATATATATTTTTAAAAAAATAAAAAATTTAAATATTAAAATGAATCAAAACTGATAATTTATATATTAAACACACAATTTACTCGTAACTTTTTCAGACTTTATTATAGTCCCAATAAAAGGATCAGGAGCACTGAAGCAGTTTTTTTTTCAAAAGTTAAAATATCGGAGAGCTTTTGACTATGGTGTGCCGGCCGCCGACTCCAAGAGCTGACGCAGCCTCGTTAGGCAAATGGCTGATGCCCATTGCGTAAGGCCAAAAGCCACCGGTTCAGCCACTACTTAGCAGCCATATCTCACCAAACACAGGATCTATACATTATACATCCATTTACCAAAAACAACAAAAATAATTCAAATTTCGTTTTCTGATTGCCCTTTTTGTCCCTTTTGGTATCGTATTGGATCATACGAATATGTCCATTCATTTCCATTGTGCATGCATAGATTCAGCAACTTTTGAATAATAAAAAGTATTGTTGAAAGACAAAGGAAGTTGTTTCCAATTTGATCATCTGGCAAATGAAGTCTGCTCTGAGCTAAGAAGTCCATGTGATACTCAACGTTTTAAAATATTGTTGCATGTGCTTGACTGCTTGGTATCTCGTAATGAAACCAATGCATCTAGACATTGGGATCCCAAACTTATGTTTCTTATTTTCTTTTTCCATTAATTGAAGACTCTAGAATTATAATACACACTTCATCATTCGATTACTTTATGGAAAATAAAATAAAATTGAACATCATTTCGATGAAAAATGTGATAGTTTGGTAAAAGAAATGGTTTGTGGTAAGGAATGTAACTAGACGGGACGGATGAGAGTGACTGTCCTCTAAAAATCTAAAATTATTATATATTTTAAATTTTTAGAGGATAATATTTTCTATTAAAAATTTATCTGCATTCCTTTAAAATTTTATAAATTCTAATTCACACTTCTAAAATTTTACAAGTTCAATTTCAGTCTAATATAAAATTCTGTGTCGTCCTTATTTGTGATGAATGTGATGGATATATTAATTAAATGAAAATGAAAATAATTATATCTTATATTTTTAAATAAGTGATAAAAAAACAAAACACAAACATACATGTCTATGAAATTCCAAACAATCCGTGAAAAATAGCCAGACACGTCTGACAATTTTTTAATAATTAATCACGATTAATTAAATAATAAAAAGTATTATAACTTTACCAAATAGGAGTAATATATTTTATGAATAAATGCATGTTGGCGTTTGAAAAAATCTCTTTAAGTAGGGGTCTCTGTCTTTAACTTCAGACCGTTCACCATTCAATACTCATTTCGTCATCTGAGCTACCCGCCTCTGCTTCACAGTTCTCTTCTTCGTTCAGTGTAGCAAAGTCCTTTGAAAACCTCCATTAATGGCGGCTCTAAGGAGCTTACTCAGTAAAAGATCTTTAACATGCAACGAGATGATGATGACAAGGAGGCTAGTCTCAACTGAACCAATTATCGATTCTCCTTCTTTTGCTCAAAGACTTAGGGATCTTCCTAAGGATCTTCCTGGTACTAAAATCAAGAGGGAAGTTTCCCAGGTAATCTCTCTACTTCTCATGAACTTTTGTTTATAATTAATTAGACTGTAATTCATAATTTCTTTTGGGTTTTGGCCTTTTTTTTCAAGATAATTTCTCCACTAAAATGGGGTTTTTCAAATTTTCTTTTTTCTTTTTGTTTTCCTCCTATGAACAGATCGCTTTTAGAAAGTGTCATTTTAGTCGTAGAGCATAGATTTACTTCATTGAATTGCCTTAGCTGAAGATGATTCGTCGTATTTGCTGATTTTCCTCTGCATTTCTAAATATTTATTTACTTGATAATAAATTCTACCTGAAGTTGTTGATGTAGTATCATCATTTTTCTTTCACATCTGTCTTCTCCCCTTTAATCGTTTAAAATTTTGAAATGATTGTTTAAATGAAGTTCATCCTTTATCTAAGAATTGATTCTTCATGTTTCAGCTAATTGGAAGGACGCCTCTTGTTTTTCTTAATAAAGTAACCGATGGTTGCGGAGCTTATATTGCTGTGAAGCAGGAGATGATGCAGCCCACTTCTAGCATTAAAGACAGGTATCGGTTTCTCTGGAGCCCTTCTTGGTATTAATAACTTTTACACTCCAGAATTAGTTTGAAATTTTCGAGATGAAGAACATGTGAGACAGGGTCGAACTGAAACTAATCGAACGCCTCTTTGTCAACAGACCGGCACTCTCCATGATCAACGATGCGGAAAAGAAGAACTTAATTTCTCCCGGAAAGGTTTGCCGGACGGCCGACGTCCTTGTTGAATTGTTGATATTAACTTTGGTGTTCAGTTGCTTTAATTTTCCCCCTAACAAGTTTTTCGACTTTATATTAGACAACTCTGATAGAGCCGACATCCGGTAACATGGGGATAAGTATGGCATTTATGGCAACCATGAAAGGTTATAAGATGGTTCTGACTATGCCTTCTTACACAAGCTTGGAGAGAAGAGTGACAATGAGAGCATTTGGAGCTGATTTAATCCTCACTGATCCCACCAAAGGAATGGGAGGAACGGTGAAGAAGGCTTATGAATTACTGGAGAACACGCCGAATGCTTTCATGTTGCAACAATTTTCGAATCCTGCCAACACTCAGGTACACTTGTATCCTTCTTTAGTTCCGCTTTATTCAAATTTTTAACAAATATACTTTGGTTAGCTAATAATGTTTTACAATAGTTCTTTGGACTGACAATGAAATCTTCCTCAAACTGGAAACACAGGTGCATTTCGAGACCACAGGCCCCGAGATTTGGGAGGATACACTCGGTAAAGTCGACATCTTTGTGATGGGAATAGGGAGTGGTGGTACCGTTTCTGGCGTTGGACAATACCTCAAATCCCAAAATCCTAATGTGAAGGTAGTCGATTACTATTTCTTTTTGAGCTAATTCATTGTAACAACAATGCTTTATTTTGTATTTGCTACATTTCATTGCTGATGTCTCTTCCTTTGAAAATAGATATACGGAGTGGAGCCTGCTGAAAGTAATATATTGAATGGTGGCAAACCAGGTAAACTTTGCATTGATATTATATTACTCCTATGCTGTTTTTCCTTGAGGTAGTCTTCTTATATTAACAATTGCAACAGGCCCTCATCATATTACCGGCAACGGAGTTGGGTTCAAGCCAGATATACTGGACATGGATGTAATGGAAAAAGTTCTCGAGGTAAATGATAATTGATGTGCTTATGTCGAATAATGATCTAGTATCTTTTGTTGAATATATAGTCCTTTAGAGGCTTATGTCAGGATATGGTATGACAGGTCAGCAGTGAAGATGCTGTAAATATGGCAAGGGAATTGGCTCTGAAAGAGGGACTTATGGTAATAACACAAATCATGTTTTGATTTGCTTTTGTCGATGATTCTGTTCATGCATCAAGATGTTACTGACATTTTGCGGAATGCAGGTTGGAATATCATCCGGGGCCAACACTGTTGCAGCACTCAGACTTGCACGAATGGCGGAGAACAAAGGCAAATTGATTGTGGTAAGCACTTGTTCGTTGCAATTCTAAGTTCGATAAGCAAAGGCATGTAGTTTGAGGGTAGTATATCAAACTTTTTCCTGTAATGAAATTTCAATGGTGATTCTCATGTTGTGTCTTTTTGTTTTCTCTTCCAAATCCAAATTTCAGACCATTCATCCGAGTTTCGGGGAGCGATACTTGTCATCGGTCCTGTTCCAGGAATTAAGGAAAGAAGCCGAGAACATGCAGCCGGTTGCAGTTGACTAAACGGTCTTCTGGTCTTCCGGCAGGGCGTAAGAGCTCTATTTGGTAAAAACCAAATGTTTCAACTGAAACATTGGCAGACAATGTTAGTATGAATCTCCTATGAACCCATTTGTGTATCGTTTTCACTGTTGAAGTCTGTTTGAAATGAAATCGGTAATAATTGGAATTTGCACGGAATGAGTCTGCATAACGGACGAGTGCCTATGCCTTAAGACTAATGCTCCATCCCTGCCATTAGGGTTTATCTTGAAGACCAATTCTTGATCTGCACAAGTAATGAATCCGTAAACGTACCAAAAAAACAAAGGATTCATTAGCTATATCAGTGACGATAACTTTGTAAGGTATAAATCTACCCATGTCTGTTAGGAAAATAAACCGAGTACAAGTAATTTTCCTATAACCAGATTAGTGAGAATGCGAAATAAAAGCGGAAAAATAATACCCGAAAATTAATAACGGAGTTCAGCCAATTGTGCTTACGTCTCCGGGCTGCTGCAGATCTTTTACTAAGAGAGAAAATTTACAGGTGTTTACAAAACACTCACTACTCACAAGAAAACTCTCTAGTATAGGAAGAAAGAAATGTTTTGGGATGATTTTGAAGCTAAATAGATAAGGGTATTTATAGTAGAAACTTAGGGACTAATCTTTGAAAATACCCTAAAGTACAATGACTAAAGTGAATTTACCCATTCCTATTTTCAACAAACATCTATCAAAATTTTACCAAACTTTGAAAAACATTTTTCAAAGAAACATTTATCAAACTTTGAAAAAACATTTTCCAAAGTTGGTTGCCAAACTTTGAAACTTTTAACAATCTCCCACTTGAAGACTAATTTTAATATGTCTTCACACCTCGATCAATGCAGCAGCATGTCTGGTCTTGTTATTCTAGCATGCCAACTGAAGCTGAACACAACTTCAGTTTGTCCGTAGTCACCGTCTTTGTCAACATGTCTGTCGGATTTTGAGCTCCACTAATCTTTTCAAGTTTCAAAATCCCATCTTCCAAAAGAGACCGGATAAAATGATATCTCAATTGTATGTGCTTTGTCCTGGAATGAAAAGACGGATTCTTTGCTAGATGGATAGCACTTTGACTGTCGCAATACAAGATATTGTTTTCTTGTTTCTTGCCTAACTCTTCCAAGAAACTTTGGAGCCAAACCATCTCCTTGCTGGCTTCCGTAACAGCGACATATTCTGCTTCAGTTGTGGAGAGAGCAACTATCTTCTGTAGTTGAGAAACCCAACTCACTGCAGTTCCTCCTAGAGTATAGACATACCCTGTAGTGCTCCTTCTGATGTCGAAATTTCCGGCTAAGTCAGCATCTACATAGCTTGTCAGTATCATATCTCCACCTTTGAAACAAAGTGCTTTGTTTGTGGTACCCCTAAGATATCTGAGGATCCATTTGACTGCTTCCCAGTGTACCTTGCCCAGATTATTCATGTACCTGCTAACAGCTCCCACTGCATGAGCAATATCTGGTCTGGTACAAACCATGTCATACATCAGACTTCCAATTGCTGAGGCATACGGCACATTCACCATGTGTGCACGTTCTTCCTCCGTCTTTGGTGATTGGTCTTTGGAGAGTCTAAAATGAACACCTAAAGGTGTACTTACTGGTTTAGCATCTTGCATGTTGAACCTGGAGAGTACTTTGTTGATGTACTCAGCCTGTGATAACATCAAAGTCCCCGACTTTTTGTCTCTCTTGATCCTCATCCCAAGAATATGCTTTGCAGCACCCAGATCCTTCATAGCAAACTGCTTCGACAATTTTTGCTTCATGTTTATGATCTCTTGCATGTTTGAGCCTGCAACGAGCATGTCATCAACGTACAACAATAAAATAATGAAACTATTGTCGAACCTCTTGATGTAGCAACAATGATCTGCTTGGCATCTGGTAAAACCACTGCTACTCATGAAACTATCGAACTTCTTGTACCACTGTCTAGGAGCTTGTTTTAAACCATACAAGCTTTTCTTCAACCTGCATACCAGGTTTTTCTTGCCTGCCTCTATGAAGCCTTCTGGCTGCCTCATATAGATCTCTTCCTCCAAATCACCATGAAGGAAAGCTGTCTTTACATCTAACTGCTCGAGATGTAAATTCTCCGCAGCTATAATTTTCAACACCAGTCTGATTGTAGACAGTTTTACGACTGGAGAGAAAATTTCATTGTAGTCAATACCTTCTTTTTGCTGAAAACCTTTGACAACCAATCTTGCTTTGTAGCGTTTTCTCCCATCATGTTCTTCTTTGATCCTGTAAATCCACTTGTTATGGAGCGCTTTCTTGCCTGGTGGTAATTCAGCTAATTCCCACGTCTGATTTGACATAAGCGAGTCCATCTCATCTTTCATGGAAGACTCCCACTTGACTGAATCCTCCACCTGCATTGCTTCATCATAGCACTCTGGTTCACCATTGTCAGTCAGCAACAAATAGTCCAAAGAAGGTGAATACCGTTGGGTTGGTTTAGGAATTCTGGAGGAGTGTCTCAGTTCTGGTATGTGTGGTTCTTCTTGAACTGCTTCAGGATTGATCTGAACATCATTTCCAGAAATATCCTCGAACTCAGCAAATTCCTTTGTTTCAGCTTCGGTATTACTTGATTCTGCGGTTGACCTATCTTTGTACATCACATTTTCATTGAAAATGACGTCTCTGCTTCTGATGATCTTTCGATTTTCGTAGTCCCAAAACCGGTAACCGAACTCATCACCACCGTAACCAACAAAGACGCATTTGTTGGACTTGGCATCAAGTTTACTTCTTTCAGCAGAGTTTATGTGTACATAAGAAATACAACCAAACACTCTTAAGTGTGAAAGGTTTATTTCTTTCTTGCTCCAAGCTTCCTCTGGTATTCCGCCATCCAAAGGAACTGAGGGCCCACGGTTGATCAGGTAAGCTGCAGTGTTGATAGCTTCAGCCCATAGAAATTTGGGCAATCCGACATGTATCCTCATGCTTCTGGCACGTTCATTCAGAGTTCTGTTCATGCGCTCTGCTACGCCATTCTGCTGCGGTGTTATGGGAACTGTTGTCTCCATCTTGATCCCATTGTTTGCGCAGAAATCTCTGAAACTACTGTCTCTGTACTCTCCTCCATTGTCAGACCTCAACCGCTTGACTTTCAAACCAGTCTCATTTTCCACCATGGCCTTCCATTTTCTGAAGGTATCAAAGACTTCTGATTTCTTCTTCAGAAAATAAACCCACACCTTCCTTGTTGAATCATCGATGAAGGTGACATAATATAGTGAGCCTGCAAGAGATGGAACAGGGGATGGTCCCCATACATCAGTATAAACCAATTCTAACCTTTCTGCCTTGGGAGTCTTGCCAATCTTTGTAAAACTGACTTTCTTTTGTTTTCCAAAGATGCAATCCTCGCATAGTCCGACATCTACATTCTTTAGATCCGGCAGCTTCCCTTTTGACAGAAGTATCTTCATTCCTTTCTCGCTCATATGGCCGAGCCTTTGGTGCCATAGGTTTGATTTTACATCAGCATCTGCTACTGCAATGATATTCTCTAAATTGGAGGTTACATAGAGAGTACCGGTCTTACCACGAGCAATGACGAGTGCTCCTTTGGTAATCTTCCATTCACAGCCTGAAAAAGTTGTACTATATCCTTCTCCATCAAGCTGTCCAACAGAAATCAGATTTCTTTTGAGGCCAGGAATATGTCTCACTCCTGTCAGCTTCCAGGTGGTCTGGTTTGGCAGCTTTAGTCGGATGTCTCCTTTTCCGACGATCTTCAAGGTTTCATCATCAGCTAGATGAACCTTCCCAAAATCACCACTGACATAGTTCTCCATGATTTCTCGGCATGGGGTGGAGTGAAAAGATGCCCCTGAATCCAAGATCCATGATTCAATCGGACTGTTGACGCTTAAAATCATGGCATCACCTGTCTCCTCCGTCATGTTGGCAGATTCCTGTGCGCCGGTATTTTTCTTCGGTGCTTGGCAATCTCTTTTGAAGTGACCCTTCTTGCCGCAATTATAACAGGTAAAATCTTTATTTCCTGTTCTTGATTTGCCCCTTCTGGATTTTGATCTGCCACGATTTGAATTTCTTTCTGAAGTTCTCCCTCTAGACTCCGTGTGCAAGGATGAGGAGGTTGATGCTTCACCCGATTCTCTTCGTCGAATTTCTTCACTCAATACCAGATCCCGAACATCGTCGAATTTTAATTTGCTGTTTCCCGACGAACTGCTGACTGCTGTAACAGTAGCATTCCAACTGTCTGGTAGAGATGATAAGAGAATTAAAGCTCGAACTTCATCATTAAACTCAATTTCCACTGAACTCAACTGGGTTGTGATTGTGTTGAGTTCATTTAGGTGTTGTGCCACCGATGCCCCTTCCGCCATCCGCAAATTGAATAATCGCCTCATCAAATGAACTTTGTTTGAGGCCGATGGCTTCTCGTACATACTGGAGAGAGCCGCCATAAGACCCGCCGTGGTCTTTTCCTTTGCTATGTTAAAAGCAACATTGCGGGATAACGTCAGTCGGATAACTCCGAGGGCTTGTCTGTCGAGAAGAGCCCAATCTTCATCATTCATGCCCTCTGGTTGCTTTCCTGAGAGAGGTTGATATAGATTTTTCTGGTACAAAAAATCTTCAATCTGCATCTTCCAAAAGCCAAAGTCCGCACCATCGAACTTTTCAATTTTTACATTCCCTTCGTCTGCAGCCATCGCTCCCACTCGAATCTGGCTTCGTTTGGATCGTTTCTGACAATTCTTGCGAATCACCGTGTATTAGAACACCACCGTCGACAAACTCGTATCGCCGACCGAATTTCACTATTCACGAAATTCACTATTCACGTGAATAGTAATGAATAATAACCTCGCAGAAAATTTGACAAAATTCACAACCAAAAGCTCTGATTACCAGTTGTTAGGAAAATAAACCGAGTACAAGTAATTTCCCTATAACCAGATTAGTGAGAATGCGAAATAAAAGCGGAAAAATAATACCCAAAAATTGATAACGGAGTTCAGCCAATTGTGCTTACGTCTCCGGGCTGCTGCAGATCTTTTACTAAGAGAGAAAATTTACAGGTGTTTACAAAACACTCACTACTCACAAGAAAGCTCTCTAGTATAGGAAGAAAGAAATG